GGTTGGGTAAAAATTCCAATAAGATAAAAGGACTACTTCTCTTGAGTTGTTGGCCAGGGAAGGTCCTTGAGGCCCCTTACACTATGACATTATTGTTGATGGTGTTGGTGGATGCTAGGTCAACATGGTATGCTTTTATTGTGATTGAAGGCATCACAGGCTTTAGCACTCAGACAAGGAAAATAAAGCTAGGACTAGACTGGTAGCTCTCTCCCTTTCATTTGCCTTTTGTAGTGCTAGAGGCACCACACAAGCACCACTCAGCAAAGGACCCCATGTGCTCCATTACCAATATGCCAGGCAGGCTGTGTTGACTGGTGCAGTTCTATCACAAATGTTAAGGGTGAATTGCTTTTCAGTTGAATTTGAGGTCCATTCCTCTGCAGGGACCTCAAATGGTACTATAAGCCAGAAGGAGGAGGTCAGAGGTCCCAGTGTTTCTATTGTTAATTTCTTAAATGAACATAAAGCAACTCCCAAATTACCTTCTACACATTAGTGGTGTTTGTTTGTGTGTGTGTGTACTTATATATCATTACTACTATTAACCTCAGTTGTTCATGGAGGGAGACTTCTCTTTAAGAACAAGAAGTACAAAGCAGATTCACAACTGCCCATGCTTCTGAGATAAAGTGACTGTCGCTCTGGCATAGCAGGCCAATACTAAGGTGTAGATGGAGAAAAACTACAAACATCCATATCACCTGCTTCAAGATTCAGGGCCTGTTGGAGAAGAGGGTGCAGAGAGAATCTAAGTACCAAAAGAAGTTATTATTGTAGGTCTTTACTCTGCACTGAAACTTTCCCTCTTCAATGGTAGAAGGAGGTTCCTTAAGGCTTAGAAAGTAAACAAAATCAACAAGTCTCAAGAAGTTCGGGAAACGGACAAGATTTACACCAATCTCCCCAAGTTTACATAAGCAGAGACAATTGCTATGGAGAAGAGACTCTGTCTGACTGGCTGAGACACCTGCAAGTTGGTCAGGGAAGTCCAGTCCAGGAATGTGGTTTCCTGTGCCATCACCAATACTGGGATGGGCTTTTTGGTAATGCAGCTGCCTTTGAGCCTTTCACACTCCTGTAAGTGACCCCAAATGAATTCCCTGGTTTGCTAAGGTAGAGTTGGATGAAATAACTTCTTTGGTTTGTTATGGTTGCTCCATCTTAGGTGAGTAGATGTTTCCTCACATCTGCCCAGGAAAATCCACAAAATTCCTTTTGAGGTGAAAATTGTATTTTTGCATCAACCAAATAATACAAAAAAATATAACGACTTTGGCAATACTGAGAAAGGATTAATGACATAGTTGGCAAAATGAGTTGCAAACATAAGAAAAATCAGTGGAAAATTATTATAATAAAACATGGCTCAGTTAACACCAAATTTATCATGCTTACAAAAGTCCATTAACAAAGATCCCTGCACTTGTAAACACGAAACCACCATTTAACCGGAAGTAAACAACAGTGATGGAAGACTGATAGTCAAATAAAACAGAGATGAAGAGAAGTGAAATGGAGCCCCAAATCAACTTTCACATAGCTGGTCACACAACAAATAATAGCCTCTTCCCTTGCTTCTTTTAAATTTTCATTAATAATTTTCTTACAAATAAAGATTTTATTCTAAATAATTTTTTGCATCAGGACATATATAAGTTTAGATTTCTTTGAATTTTCCTTAGTTTACTGTTTGTATAATCATTTTCCATATCCTCACCTCTATCTAACAGGAGAGGAATGCTGCCAGTTCGCATGATGGATACTCAGAGTTCTGCTAGGAGATCTTTCTCACCTTACTTTGTTGCAGTGCATGTAATAAATGATTCTGCCTTTTTCTCCAAGAGGGTAAATGAACCCCTGTCTGAATTTCACATGCTACATGAAGCAGCTCTGCTCTTCATAAGCTTGTTTATTCCAAGCTAGGAATGTTAGGCACTGCATAAGAGGCCTTCACAAAAGACGCCAAGTTATGACTGAAGTCAGATAGGGTTATGATACATCAGGAAAATGGGGTGATATTGAGGCCCCACTTAGACCTGATGCTCCACATCCATGCATATGCAGGTGGCCCTACATGGACCCCCTGGATGATATATTTTTTTAAAAAGCATGAATTTGAGAGACAAAAGTGGTGTTGAGGGAAAGGGAGAAATTGGAAGGAAGACCTGTGGGTGGATTTGATCAAAACACAGCATATGAATGTATGGATATTAAATTAAAATGAGAATACAAAATGGATAGAAAATCAGAGTGAACCCTTGGGTCACAGTGTCCACTATATGACACCACATCTGACTTGGAGTGTTGCAACTCAGAATTATAAATCCGATGACATTCAGACTTGCCAAGAACCAATCCAGTCTCCACAAGTGTTCACAGTACACTCTTCCCTGCCAAGATCCCAGCACATTTCCACAGGTGCTCACAGTCAACCTCTCCCAGTCTCTTCTATGGAAAGTTGTGTCTGAATTCACAATTATCCTTGCTGTGCAGTGATGACAGAGAGTAACTCAGAGAGCAGATCCCCACTCCAACTTCCAACAAGGACGGTATTAAAGTGCTGATGCCTCCTGGGGACTGTTTTAATTTTTAATTTTTTTCTTTAGTGTATACACACATACACACAAACAGAGATAGAGATAGAGAGATAGGGAGAGAGAGAGAGAGAGAGAGATAGGTACAGAGAGATAGGGGGAGAGAGAGAAATAGAGAGAGGAGAGAGAGAGGAGAGAGAGAGAGAGAGAGAGAGAGAGAGAGAGAGAGAGAGAGAGAGAGAGAGATTAGAGGTCTTAAACTATGTAGAATTCAGGCATCAAACTCAGATCCTGGGCAGCAAGTGCCTTTACCTGCTGAGTCATTTTGCCAGCCCAGGATTGTTTTTGTTTTTGTTTTTCTAATTTTATATGCTTTGACAGTCACATGAATGTACATACTAATTGTACTTGCATTGACATCCAACTCCCCTCTCCCACTGAAATCCTCTGGACTGACAGAATGTAAAGCTTTTTACTGCTCACCTGTTCTTTCCTACCCTGTGGCTGTTCCTCTCCCTAGCACCCTCCACAGAGCACCCTTCACATCCTTGTTCCTCAGGGTATAAATCAGAGGGTTGAGCATGGGGGTGATGATAGTATAAAAAAGGGCAACAAACTTCCCCTTGCTCTCAGAATAGCTGTCTTTGGGCTGTAAGTATGTGTAGGTGGCTGAGCCATAAAACAGAGAAACTACCAGGAGGTGGGACCCACAGGTCCCAATAGCCTTTCTGCGCCCAGCTGTTGACTTGACCTTCAGCACTGCCCTGGCAATCTGTGTATAGGAGCCCAGGATGAGCACAGCTGGAACTGCAACAATCACCACTCTGGCCACAAACATCTTGGCCTCTGTCCCTTCAGTGTCTTCACAGGCCAACTTGAGGAACACAGGCATCTCACAGAAGAAGTGGTTCAGTCGACGGCCACAGAGGGGCATGGTCATCATGAGGCTTGTCTGGATCAGAGAGTTCATGAGGCCTCCCACCCAGGAGACAACAGCCAATGCCTGGCAGAGAAGGGGGTGCATGATGGTCGTGTAGTGCAGGGGACGACATACAGCAGCATAGCGGTCAAAGGCCATCACAACCAGGAGCAAACTCTCTGTGGAGCCCAGAGCGAGAGATATGAGCAGCTGGGCCACACATCCTCCATAGCTGATGGTCCTGTCAAGTCCACGAAGGTTGATCAGGAGCTGGGGCACGGTGCTAGTGGTGAAGCAGAGGTCCAGGAAGGAGAGGTGGGAGAGGAAGAAGTACATGGGAGTGTGTAATTGAGGGTCCTTTCGGGAGAGAGCGATGATGGCGGTATTGCCAAAGAGAGTGAAGGAGTAGAAAATCAAAATATAAATAAAGAAGATGATTTCTAGTTGAGGCCAGTCGGAGAAGCCCACCAAAATGAAGCCTCCTCCCAAACTGGTATTAAAGCTTTCCATAGCTTTGGGCAGGAACAAGTTCCTGAAGGTAAATCAGTGCATCCTATGAAAAATAAGGGTTCATACATTCACTGGATAGAGTACTCCTTAAGGGCTCCTAAATGGTGAGTTTATTATCTATTCTGGTATCCAGTTCACTTCCTCCAGCCTTCTAGGTTTACTCTTTTCTACTTTAGATAGAATATAACTCAGTTAGGAATGACATCATCTGTGTTTGAACCTCATCTCCTTCTTCCTCTTTGCTCCTAGACTTTAGCCCGGCCTCTTGGTCCTGTTCCTATTGCACTGAGATTTGGACCTACCTAGTACCATTGGAATTTCTTTTAAAATAGTATGAAACCGATTGTGGAAAGGCACCGAGGTATAGCACATGCCACACGAGTGAGATCGGGGTTTAAACTCCAGCATCCACAGAACCCTCCCCCGCTGCTCAGTGAGTTATCAGGCTCAAATATGTCTTCTTTATTTTAAGATGCATCATGTACTCACTGTGCCAGCATAGTGACAGAACCTGACTTCTCATCCAATAACTTTATTACTGGCTTGGAGACAGAAGTGTTAAGACACTGCCTAGTATTGGGGAAGCCCTGGTTTTATTGTCAGAATTACAAACATATTTCATTGTTTATGGAGACCATCCATATACAGAGGCACTCAAAACCACACAGAGAGATGAACATAGATACTCACCAGTCGCTGTGATGTGGAGTGTCAGCAGTGTCAGTGGCTAAATGCTTGGAGCTTGATGAAAGGAATGAGATCAACACTATGTAATTAAAAGATAATTTAAATATATAAAAATACATTAAATCTAACCCAATTTCCCTGTGTTATGCTTGCATATGTAACCTTCTCCTTAGCCTCTGGAGAACTGAACTCTCAACCAAAACTGAGTAGGCACTAAATCGTCCTTGGACTCATTCTGCATCAGTCTGTACTTTCTCTGACTCAGTCAATCTCTCTTGGCAATACCTTCTAGAGAAATCATACCTCATTCACTCTATCTCATAGCATTTGGGGTGATCTTCAAGACTCCTTGATGAAATTTTTAATAATAGCACACTAGCATTGTGTAGTATAAGACCAGAAAATAAAAGGAGTCTAGTCAGCTTAACTAAAATTCAAAGTCTGAATGAAAAACTGACATTTTAAACTCCCGACTCCCCAC